CTAGAATTTTATGTAAATCCTGTGTACATAGCATGGTAGGAAGGATTACCTGTGCTAATCTATGTAAAGCAGTGTCACACCCATAATAAGCACTTTTTAAGTGTTTACTATTGTTTTTAAAACCCCACAATCTCAGGATATATATTTAATCCAGCCTTGTGCAATCAGAAGCTTTAACTCAGTTCAATGTGAAGGATAACAAAGGGAAGCTTCTATTCTCATAGGAACATCAGAACTTTGATTTGAAAGGGAACTCAATGGTAAGCTGCTCCCATTTCTGTGTACTATACCTAACAGGTGGTAATTACGTTTCTGCTTGAACATGCCCGGTGATGGGGAGCTTACTACTTCTCAGGAAAGTTCATTCCCTGATTGAATAGTTTAATTCTGAATAAGTTTATACTTTTTATTGAACAGAGAACTAACCTTCTATAAATTCTACTCATTGGTTCCAAGGATGGGTCATCTAAGCAGCGGTCTTCCATTTCCTTGGACAGAACTGCTTCATGAATTCTTAATGTCTTTGATTCAATTTTAATTTTTTCAAAAGTACATTTTTTAATTATTTGCCAAAACTGAAATTCCAAAGAAAAGTGTGCAACATCCTTGGGGAGACTGCTTAGCTTCTCCAATTCTCAGCTTTTTAATCTGTAAAATGGGTATAATTAGTAAGTGAATAATAAGCAGTTAATAAATGTTAGCTACATCTTTATAATTATTATCATTGTATTATTAGCATTTGATACAAGCTGTTAGGAGGCTTCTTTAAAACTCTAACTGGGGGCAGGGTATAGCTCAGTGGTAGAGTACATGCTGGGCATGCACGTGGTCCTGGGTTCAATCCCCAGTACCTCCATTACAAAAATTAGTAAATTAATAAGTCTAATTACCTCCCTTCCTTCAAAAAAATAAATAAAATAAAAATAAGGTAAATAAATCTATTTTAAAAACTTAAAAAAAAGTAAGCATGCAAACTAACAGAAAATAAATTTGAAAACAAAAAAAATTTAAAGAAAATCCTATTGCTCTGTTTTACTCATGCTTGCTATAGACAATTCTCAGCCATCCTCTTCCTCACCCTGGTGGAGAACTTATTCCAAGGTTCAAACCCAAAACTTGGCCTTGTAATAAACTGAGCATGGGCTTCCTGGGTCTCCATCCCCTTCAAGATAATCCATCAGGAGAGATGACTCAACTCCCAGCAGCTACAGTCCCTGAAGATCTTCCAGGACAGGTGTTCACATGGTAGCGGATGCTTTGGAAATCCACTGGAGCTGAGTTTTGCTAACATCAAGGTTTCCACGTTGTGTGACCCGGTGAAGCTGCTGCCCACTGCAGACCCCACCATTCCTGCACATCCCAGCTGCCAGACCCTCCAAAGTACCCTGTGGCCTTAGAATAGGGAGAAATCCACCACAGCTGATTTCTACTTTGGGGATAATTCCCATTTCATGTTAATCCAGCTTTGCAGAGGCTGGAGACTTGGACACTAGGGAGACTGGTACTCCATCCTCAATTCAGAAGACCATCTTCTCTTCCTTCTGCTTACTCACTTAGCTCCTCCGAGTAAGGAGCTAGATCTGGAAATCGGTCTGAGCTTGACCAAAATGATATCCCCTTTTGTCTATCTGTGCTGTAAATACCTGTGGAGCATATTGTTAACTAGTTTTAAAAATTGTAAGTGTGATATGTGTGCATAGTAACATTTTTTTCAAACATTTCTAGTATAAGTGTAGAGCATAAAATAAAAAGTTATGTATCCCTAACTACTATCACCCCCAATTCCACTGCCCACTGATAGATCTCCTTATAAATGGTTGCACAAATTTCATGCTCTTATGCATGTAATTATGCATATAGCATATATGCCTATTTTTATAAGAATACTGAGGGACTCATTATAACATATAAATATATGCTTCATGCACTTTATATTTTGGGCGTTTTTCCATAGCAGCCCTTATAGGTTGTTTCTTTCTTTTAATGGTCTTACAACATTAAGTTAAAAAATCTTTTAACCAGTACTTTATTAATGAATATTGAGATTCCTTTTTTCCTTTTTATTCCAAACTGTCGTAACTAGCCTTAGAAGATGGTCTCCAGTGAGCCTCATCTCGTGGTATTCATGCCCTTGTGTATTCACTTCCCTCACTGAACTGGGCTGACTTGTATAACATAGATAGTGTGGAAACGGTGATGAATGGCTTCCAGGACTAGGTCATAAAAAGCATTGTGGCTTCTGCTTACTCTTTTTTGGATCATTCACTCTGGCGGAACCTGGTTGTTATGGGGACACCCTAACAGTTCTACTGAAGTCTGTGGGATGAGGAACTGAGGCCTCCTGTAACTTGTCAGCCACGAGAGTGAGTCACGTTGGAACTGGATCATCCAGCCCCAGTCAGACCTTCAGATGACCGCAGCCTCCACCCACACCTTGACTACAACCTCATGAGATACCCACCCAGCTAAGCTGCTCTCCAGCTCCTAGGACATCAAACTACATGAGATAATAGTGTTTATTATGATGTTGAGCTTTTTGTGGGTAATTCTCATGTAGCAGTGATAACTATTACCCAAACAATGCCACAACAGTCATCCATGTCTGCTCACTTTTGTGCATCTAGGAAAGTCTGTAAAATAAATTCCTAGGAATAGAATTACTGAGCTGAAACAGATGTGAATTTTCAATTTCACTTAATTGTGTCAAATTTAACAATATCCCAAAGGAATAAATAGGCTTCCCCACACCTTGCCCTCATCATCATAGCCCACCCTCAACTTTTACCATTTTATAGGCTTAATTTTTTTTCAATTTGAATTTCTTAGTTAGGCATGAGATTGAGCATTTTTTCATATATTTATTGGCCAGGTATATTCATACTTCTGTTAACTGTCAGTTAATGTCTTTCACTCATCTTTATATTGAATTGCTCATCTTTTCCCTATTAACTTGTTAGAGCTCTTTGTATAATAAGAGCATTAGTCTTGCTTTATGTGTGTACATATTTTGACACTTTAATTTTAACATTACTTATAGAGATTTTTCGGAGTAGAAGATTTTTACTTTTTGTAGGAAGATGTATCTTTAAAACAGTATTTTGGATTTTTAGAAAAAGTTTACCACCTTTAAAGAAAGTTATTAAAAGAAAAATGCTCTTTATCTCTGGTTCATATCTTACATTTTTTTTTTCTTACCGATGTGGTGACTGGAAAATTGAATCTCAAAACACAGAAATGAAAACAAAGGCCCTAATTTGTAGTATTTGCAAATTTCTGAGGTGTAAACACTCTTTCCATGCCCAGTTACAAGCTCTCAGTGCAACCTCTCTGAGCACAGAGTTAGCTAGGAAGAGATGTGCACAATTGCCTCTTGCCAGCTGGTAAATGCCAGCCTCGCACACCGCTGCACCAGAAATGTATTTTGACATAAAGAATGAGAGAAATCCAGCTTCTTTTTCCCATATGGCTTTTTTTCCCCCAAATGGAAAATTCATTTTCTTTTCTGTACTGAAGTGCTCAGCTTGATCATATTCTCCTGGACACATTTGGGTCTATTTCTGTATCCTGTAGTCTCTTTCATTGATTAGCTGTTCCAGCCCACAAACAGTTTAATTACTAGCATTTTATAATCTTTTATACCTGACAAGTCTAGTCCTTTTAGTCTTCTTTTCCAGAGTTTTCCCTGTCTCTGTTCATATACTGTGCTTACAGATGTGCCCTTGGTTTAGAAAAGTTTATAGCTTTGTACTGGTTGTTTAAAAAAATTTGAGCCTATAAATTTGCACAACTAAAACTACACCGTGATAACGCTTACATGACCAAGTTCCTAGAGACTCAGGAAAGCTTTTCGGTGAATTCTTTTCTTATGCACCAATACAACACAATAGATAAAAGCAATTGAACACATAACTTGGTCATATTTTGATAATATTTTGACATAGGCGGTGTTAATGCTGACTGTACCTTTTAGATGTGTGTTAGGCTTTTATGTTTATATTAAAGAATACAAGCTAGTTGTTAGTGCCCTTCAAAACTTCTGATCCAGTTTAACGAAAGTAGTCCTAGACTGCAATGTGAGTTCTTTTAAAGAACCATTTGCAAATATTTGTTATTATGAATTGGATTTTTCTCAATTCTGTTAAACTAGATCAAAATTTTAAAAATAGTCTGATGCTGCCACCTGAGGTAGATGCTGAGCTGCATGTGAGACTAACTTTCATTAAAATAGCTACACTTTCATGCTAACATGAATTTGTATCAATTACGTTCTTAATATATTATGTACAAAAATGTAAGCTTTTATTTCAACATAGGCTTTCACTATTAAAACTGTTTCAAATCTGCTGAGCTGAGTCTTCAGCAAGAAGTGAGGATGGGTGGGGTGGAGAGAGGTGTGTCTCACTCATTTACTAAGTTGTGTGAGTTTCCCTTTAGGTCTTCAGTCCCCACACCCGTATCACCCCATATACCTTATGACTAAATACTCATATCATCTGTATTTTTTTGTTTGCTTTTTATTTAAATTTTTATCCCCCCCCAGTCAAAAACTAATTTCACTGTATAAAGATCAGTGGTTGCCAGGGTTAGGGTGAAAGAAGGGAGGAATGGGCAGAGAACAGAGGTGTTTTAGGGTAGTGCAACTACCCCAGATAATACTGTAATGGTGGCTATGTGTCAATATAAATTTGACAACACCAAAAGTGAAGCCAATGTAAGGTTTTGGGTGATAACCATGTGTTAATGTACGTTCTTCGGTTGTAATGAATGTTTCACTCTTGTGGGGGATTCTGCTAACGGGGAGGCTATACACGTGTTGGAGTAGCGGGTATGTGGGAACTCTCTTTACCTTCCTGTTCAGTTTTTCTGTGAACCTAAAACTGCTCCAAACATAAGTCTGTTAAAAACAAACAACTGATCTCAGACCCTTTGTCATACTAAAGTGCAAATGATGGGTGAGAGATTAAAGTGTTATCTCTCCAAGGACCTTTGTCTTTTAACAGGAAAAGAGGCTGTAAAGCTGATGAACTGAAACTTCAGTTCTGGCTGCAGATGGATGCGAGAGTTTATAGACATCACAGCCTTCCCATGAGTCGGGAGAGGAGGGGCACAGAGATGAAAGGCAAGGGGAAAACTGAAAAAGCAGAAGAACTGAGGGCACAAGATTTGTGTTCTGATCTTGGCTCTATCATTTCCTGATGAGTGATCTTGAGAACTCCCTAAAACTTGTTTTCCTCACCTGAGTAACAAGCTTAATAAAAGCATCCCACCAGTCCTTTAATGAGGATAAATTGAGATAACATATGAGGACATGCTTCATTAATGGAAATAATACAAAAATGTTTGTTATTTGTCACAAAAAAGGCAGATGTGCTTTTGAAACATTTAGAGTCCAGATTGACAGTGGGATCAGTCTGTCTGTTTTCTCTCCTTTTCCATTAACTCTGTGTCTGAACTTTCTCATCTCTAAAATTGGGATAACAATATTTACTTCTCCAGGTTGTTTTAAGGATTAAAATGGATAGGCTTGTAAAGTATTTAGAGAAGTGTCTGTCTGTCCTCACTCTCATCCCAGTAAGTGTCCAACAAATATTTTTGTTGTTTCCATTTCCTCTCCAAATCCATGTGGAAAGACATTAGTGTCTGTCACTGAGGTTCAGCTCAATCAGAAGTCAAGCCAAGCCCCACTGACCCAGGAAAGAAAAATCCCTGACTTTCTCAGAACTTCTTTTAGGGCATTTATTACTTTCTGCTTTCCTCTGTTCACTGTTCCCATTGCTCACTCCTCAGACTCTTTGAGTGGGTGCGTGACTTTTTGCCCCCATCATTCTATTAAAACTGCACGTGTTTTAGAGGAAGTAAACTATAAAGGGTTCTTCAGACAGTTAAAAGTGATGTGATGCATTTAGAAAGGGAGAGAATTTTTAAAACCCAGAACAATGATCAATTCTATTTCAACTTGCAATATACAGTTAACAGCATTAGGTGTGAGTGAGAAGTGGAATAAGCCTGATTATAGGCGACTGTTACTATATTTCTGAAAAAGATGTTTCTTCTTTCCTTCATGATTGAATTTTCAGTTACCACCTGTCTTCTTGGATAGAAATAACTTCCTTTCTCTGAAGCTGTTGGGTTTCTCCGGGAGCTGGGAGGTTCTGCACCTTGCGTGTGACTGCTTTCCTCAGTTCAGTAAAGAGATCAGTCACCAAGTCACCCTTTCCTCTCCAGTGATAGCTGCCACCTCTCGTTTTCACAAGAAATGATAAAGCAAATGAGTCAGCCCCCAGGACACTTCAAGACTGGCACGCAATGCTCAGGCGAACCTCAACTTGAGCTGGTGCTAAAGAGGTTTTAGAAAAAGCCTTCAGAAACCCTTCCTCCAGAAATAAAGGCATGAATCTGCCTTCCTTTTTTCCCCCTCTCTCTCCATTGGCCTTTTAACGGCTTTCCAGATTTCATTGAACTTTTTAAAAACACAAAGTTATGATTTTTAGTTTGAATAAAAAAGCAGTGATATAGTAGTCTGTGATCTTCCCCTTTAAGGTAAGAATCTGCATAATTATGTGTAAAGAGAAGGTGTTTTGAATTGTAGAGGAGGGAAGGTGTGTTTATTCTCCTAACTGTCAGTTACTTTGCAATCAGTTACTTTGCAGTCAAGTATAGGACTAGAAAGGTCTTTTCGCTTATGTGCTTGGTTGGTTTGTTTCAATGACTGTTTTTAAACAGTGACAGGTTATGTCCTCTGTTGTTTTCCTAACTACATTTTTAAATATCACAACAATTTCTGTTTTAAGTACTTGGAATGATATGTACAATAAAATAATTGTTAAATAATAGAAAAACAAAAGATGCGACTGAGAAATTCTAAATGAAACCCACATCTAAACTACTTTTTTGACCAGCTTTGTAAATAATCGCTTGTTTATAAAGGTGTTAATTTATATTGTAGGAGGGAGAAGGATTTTAGTTCCTTTGAACTTTTATTATTATCCTTGTCTGTGTACGCTAGAAAGAAAGCAAACCAATAGCATTGAAATTGTTTAGTCATTAATTATGGTATTCCATGATTATTCCTTTCCAAGAGTTCAGTGCACTATCATCTGACTGGGTAAAGTGAAGCGGTGGAGACCAGAACTTGGGCAGCAGGAAAGTGGATAAAGTTGCTGGAAAAGAAAACTGTGATATTAGAGAAACTGGTTTAGCCCAGTACAGAGGCTAGAAAAAGTCAACTGCATATTTGCCCAAAGCATCCACCTTAAAAAAAAAACAAACAGATTTTAATCAATTGAACAGGTAGGACTTTGGTCGGAATGTTTATTTTTGTCTATTCATTTATTCTTTATAATCAGTCAGATAAAATGGTTTGGATTGGGTACCGTTATGCTTGTATATTTGAGCAAATCAATATCCACAATAAAAGTGTTATAAGATGATAAGAAATGCCAAACTGGCCCAGATCTACGATCCATCCACCCTAATTTCACCTGTTTCAGACTGATCTGGAGTCAACATGCGCTATGACCTGGTGGTTGCCCTCCAGACAACTTCTTAAGTTTAGGGAGAGCCTGTAAACAGTGCTGATAACAGTGCCTGGCAAATGTGTGGCTTGGGAGTGATTCATGTTTGCTGAACAAATGAATGAGCCAGAAAGTAACCATCATATACTTACCTCCATTCCCCTGAAGCTAGTCTTAGTTTATGTTACCAACTATGCATGATAAGTTCTTTGTTTTAAATGTCTTATATTACCTTAAAAATTACTTATCTTCAGCATCAAGAATTCCTCCCTCCTCAACTTTGGTATTCCAGGATTTGACCTGATTAAAGTTTAAGACAGAGAAAAATGCTCTGCCACCTGGTTGATGTACTCCCTGCCTCAGCTGAACCCATTTCCCTCAGAAGTGGAAGAATTCTGGCTTTGGTTGCAAACAACATTCCGGTAAGAAAACCAGTTGTGTACCAGGGTGTTTACTGCATGGCCTACATGAAGGATAAATGTTAACTAGTTATTACTGCTCCTTAATACCAGCGATGTTACAAGATTAACAGAAGTAGATAAGAAAAAGAAGCATGATTTATAAGTGATGCTGGCAGAAGGGTAATTACAGGGGAATGAGCTATTATTATGTGGTAATGGTTTATTGCAATAGACCCTAACAAGGCCTTTATAGTATATATCAATGCTATTTTCAAAGGCCTGGAGGGACAGGAAAAGGGAGGAAGCAGAAGCTCATCCTTTGGCGAACGGAATTTGTTGACAAACACACTCACTATCATATTCTGCAATTTCCAGGAACTAGAAGTGGATGATTAGTTGCATCTGTTGTGATATATACGGGCGTGACGAGTGGGAGCACTTTGCTGTATACTTGCTACCCCAGGCTAGATGAATCAGAATTTGGCTTATTCTTTTGGGTAGAAACATAATAAGGGAATAGATCCAGCTGGGTTTTTTAAAATAAAGCAACATAGTAGATAAAGCAGGACACAGCGTAAGATTCTCTGATTGAAACAGCTCTATGGTAAGACTGTAGGAGTTTGACCCCACTGACCTTCTGAAGCAATGTGGGCTTCAGAGATTAAGAGAGAGCTCTAGAGTGACTTCTCTCCAATCTAGCAGTTTGGTCGTGGGTTAAGTAAATTCACACTGAGTATCTCCAAAGAAAAACCAGTCTCTCATGGACTTAATTACACAGGATAACAAGTAGCAAACTGTAAGAACTCTACACTCCCCCCACCCCAAGCTTTTAATTTCTGGTAGAGGAGGACATTCTGGGAACAAGGAATCATGTTAGATCTACATACTCACACCTATCCCACACCAAAAAGTTTGCATTGCTTTGGCAGTGCATTGGTTAAAAAAAAAATCCTACCTCTGCTTCTCCTCAGTAGGGATAAACTTTCAACAGATTGGCAACATTAAGAGAATTCCTTCAGGAAGTACTTCAACTAGCAAGGCTTGGTGTTTTCAAAATGCCTTGTATTATCTTCAAGGGTATTTGTTCCCCTGGCTCCCTCCCTGTGGGGTTGCTTCAAGCCGGCAGCCCTCCCTAGGGATGTTTAGAAAGATCTCTTCTTTCAGGCGCTGGCAGTTGTCCCCTCTCCGACGTAAACATAAGCTCTGTTGTTACCAGTCCCAGGTTACTGCACTATCCCTTGTGACCCCCCTTCATTTAGCCCCCCTTAAGTTATCATAAATTGAGGAAGCTGTCTTTTTCCTCCCAAGATCCTGACACATCACCTAATATCATGAAAAAATATGAGTCATCTTCAGTGTGAAGTGAGAGTTCTGTAAGTAAGAGCTGTCTGAGAAGGAGAGTGAGACAGAGGCAGAGAGATGGCCCACTAGTGGATCAACCACCTTGTGATGGGGCTTTGGACTCAGTCCTGGTAGAATACGAGTGCAGTCCGTGGACCAGGTGGAATGAGAGACACCAGGGTCCCTGCTAGCCCAGTGGGACCCACTACCTGGGAATGGCTCGGTCTGCTGCATTTGGAAGTCTGTCTTCTTTATTTCCATGTAGGATCATTTAATACTGTAACACTTTCCTTGGGAGTCTACCACAAAACTCCTCTACTTTCTTTTGGTAACGTCAACATCTTTTCAGTCAGAGGTCGTCTTTTTGTTCTTCCTAAAGTTAACCTAAGGTGTGAGATCACTGCAGCATCCACACCCTACTCCCTGCTGAATCTGGGATCAGAGTTGTAGGATCTTCAGGTTACAAGAGTGGTGTGAAGCTGTGGAGTACAACTTCCCCCTCTCACACATAGTAAGCTGAGGTTTCCGTAGCCAGAGGTGGAAGGCCTTCCTTCAAAGCCCACAGCTCGTGGTTATTGGGAGTGTTAGAGCCTGTGAAACCCACAGCCCTGTTTTCCCTGGCCTAATCTTTCTGGCCAGAGACTCTGGACTTGACATGTGACATCACTCAGACTAGAGGCCTGAGGGGCAAAGGCCTCCATGGGGAGTTTTGGAGAATGAATAGGGAGAAGAGAAGAACCCAAAAAAGGGAAAAGGTTTTTAATTCCTGTGGGAATTTTTTGAGGTATACTTTGAGGACTGTGTCTTACTGAGAATTCGACAATCCAGCCACCAAAAATTCCTACTGGCTTTTTTAATAGGGTGGACATTTTCAGCAAATAGTCAGGAACCAGGGTTGTGTAGGAGGCAGTAGCCCAGAAAAGCAGTTCACTTTCTCCCTTGCTTTGCTTTAGTCACGCCCAGTAAATGAGGGCACCAGGGGGCTCACGGGCAGGTGTGCGCAGCGCTGAGCCCGGCTTAAGCTTTGACCTGCTAGTAACTGGAAATACTCCTTTGAGTGGAGCCAGTAAACGTTGTCATTTGCTATCATTCCTTGCATTCCAGGATTATTCACAGCAATTAGAATTTATTCTTCATGTAATATGGCTGGTATCTAAGACTAATATTTTACTTTTAAATGTGGCAACATGAGAGGCAGAATACTTTTGTGAGCCCCTTCAGTAAGAGACGCTTCATTAACCATTTGAAATAAAAATCAGCAATACTGAAACGGTCTTCTTGTTAGTTTAATTTTATCTCCTTTGTATCTTCATTTTGTAAGGTTCTTCTGTGTGTAAGTTTCTACTAACTCCAAGGGCAGATCCTGAGCTTTACAAGCTATTGGAAGTAGGCAGGAAAAAGTACAGGACAACTGCTTTTAGTAACATGCATGTTCTGAGGAACGTACTTTCATGCAGTGTATTAGTTTGCTAGGGCTACTGTAACAAAGTACTGCAAATGGGGTGGCTTAGAATGATAGAAATGTATTGTCTTGTAGGTCTGGAGGCCAGCAGTCTGAAAGCAAGTTGTCAGCCGGGCCATGCTCCTTCTGAAGGCTCTAGGGAAGGGTCTGTTACGGGTTTCTCTCCTAGTTTCTGGTAGCTTCCAGAATTCCTTGGCTTGTACATGGCCATCTTCTCCTTGTGTCTCTTCACATCGTATTCCTCTGTGTATGTCTGTGTCCATGTTTCCCCCTTTTATAAGGACATTAGTCATACTGGAATAAAGCCCACCCTAATGACCCCATTTTAACTCTGTAAAGACTGTCTTCAAATAAGGTCACATTCATTCTAAGGTCCTAGGGATTAAGACTTCAACATATCTTTTGGCAGGGGACACAGTTCAACCCATAACTATACAGCCTGCTGAAACTGTGAATGGGGCTGCTACTCATGGTTGCTGAGCTACTCAGAACTAAACATTCTGACTGGGACTTTTCCCCAGCTCATCGAGGGCGCACCTTTGCTTAGTGTGCTGTTTACCACACGTTAGGATACAACCGTGTGTTTAAAATTAGTGGTCTTGAGGTGTGTGCTGGTGGGGCTTGCTGTTTTTTCTCTGGCCTTTCTGAGTTTCATGTGCAAGCGAGACACTGCTCAAAAATCAATGACTTTGGTGTGCTTGTCTTATACTCTTAAGTCATAAGATCATGGCTTCAGGCAGAGCTGCAAGAGCTGAAAAATCACAAGACAGAAAGGACTGCACGTTTTTGGAAATTTGTTATAAAATAAACAACTTTGCATTTTGTTCTTATCCAAAGTTGCTAATGATGTTTTTCCTTTTGGATTAAGCATCTTCCTTTCTTTAAAAATAAAATATTAAGATAATTCCTAATTATATGTCTTCTAATTATGTGAAAATGTTATTCAACATTTCAAAAAAGTTTTATATGACTAAATAAAAGAGGATACAAAAATTACAGTATGGAGGCTTGGATTCACTTAGCCATGTTCAAACGTATGGATCATTTGTTTTTTAGATCTGTAAAATCAGAAACACATGCATTTGCAAAACGACACGTGTCTCAATGTAATTAAAGCTTTGCTATTTTATAATTAGTCACCCAAGCAGCCCCAGCACTATTGCTTATACTGCCATTAACACTGCCAGTACTACTGCTACTAATAACAGCTGATGTCTGTTGAGCACATATTCTGTGCCAGACACTGATCCAAGTGCTTTGCCATGTTTTGACTACTCTCACTTCCACAGCAATTCAACAACTCAATTCAATTAAACCATTATCTCTAATTAAAGAAACCAAGACCCAGAGACTAAACTAACACTGTAAATGGCAAAGCCAGAATTCAAATCTGGACTCAGAGCTCTTACTTTAATCACTAAAAAAAATCTTCTTGGGCAGAGCATTCCAAAATCTGTGCCATAGAATACCAATTTTATTAAATGCTCCTGAAAAGAAGAAGAAGAAGAAAAAGAAAATGTTTATGTAGCTAAATACATTTGGGGATTACTGCTATGTAGATTTGTAATGTATGCTATGTTAAAAAAAAACCTATATAACAATGTAAGATTGAAATTTCAACTAGGAATCAAGATAAAATAAATGCAAAATTCCTAAATGAGTTTCTAAGTCACCATATGCAGACTATAGAAGCCTAATATCTGGAAACCTATTCCATAACTCCTGGATCCTTTCAGAGAATGGAAAGGTTTTGTATGATTTTCCTGGGAGAGGTTAGCAGCTGTGCTATGGGGCACCAAGCTTTTCTGCTTGAGAATGTTGCTACCTCCTACATCAAGCCCAGTGAGCAAGGGCTTCAGGAGGACTACTTGAAATGCTTAATTTGTGTCCCTATATGTCACGGAAACTGCAGACTGAAATTGACTCCCTCTTGGGAAATCTAGATGTAAAAAGTTGGCCCATTAGCACTTTAATGCCAGTACCTAGATTGGCCTTGCTGCTGCATGGGGGCAAAGATGTTTCACTGCTTCCCATGGACCATGGGTGGGCTGTAGGGGGTGAGAGTTGTAGGAAGGTGGAGTCTCCCAGATGATGGTCTGGGAATAGAGGTGGATGGACATCCTGGAGAAATGAAGAGTATCACTCTTCATTTGAGAATTGATGCTGGAGAGTTCCCCTATGATGGAACTTTCAAAGAACCCCTAAAATCGGCCTATATGAGTCACCTTTACCATCTGCCATGCCCGAAGAACATAAACTCACTTAGCAGAGTAAGGACTATAAATCCCCTCACCTTTTCCCTCTGCTCTCATCTTGGGTTGCTAGATAAAATGCAAGGTCTTCAGTTAAATTTGAATTTCAGATGAACAATGAACATTTTTTTATTATAAGTATATCCCATTCAATATTTGGGACATGCTTATATTAAAAAATATTTGCTATTCATCTGCAATTCAAATGTAACTAGACATCTTGTATTTTTATCTGCTTAATCTGGCAAACTTCGACTCACCCCACCTTTCCCTGAGGAGATGTTGAGCAGGTGAATGGTGACGGGAAGGAAAGAACAGAAGTTCTTATATTTTCTGAAATAGGGCCATGTTTGCAGATTTAACCTCTTTCCAAAAGATAAGTAGAAAAGTCAATAGACCTGCCCAGGTCTTCAGGCAAGGGGCAGGGGGCAACTGCCGTAATGAATAAATTTGAAAAGTATTAGATGAGAATAAAAAATGAAAATTATATTTTGAGTATATTACAAATCTTCTTTGTTAAATGATCCAGGTCTATTTTATTTGACTTTGTTAAGCTGTTCTTCTCCAGGACTATAACAGCTGTTAACTTCTCTTGGAATTTGTGCTCTTTGGAACACATTTTGGGCAATTCTACTTTGTTTTATAACTTGGTGGTATAATTAACTAAACTGCTGTACTGGAGAATTTTGACGAAACTGCTGGGGGACCAGTGTATGAGTATATGAATTCTTCTAAGATTTCAAGTAAAAGAAAACTCAACTCAAATAGGCTTAAACAACAAACGGGCTTAGGTTTGGGGAACTGGAAAGCCCAGATGTACAGAGGTCTTCAGAGTTGCTTGATCTAGCAGCTCAGCCATTGCCAGTAAGAACTCAGTTTTTAAATTTTGTTTTT